GGCACAGCGCCGGCCATGGCGGCCATTTGGGGAGTGAATCAACGGAAAAGGAAGACCTTTCTCTCTGTTTCTCTCTCTCTCTCTCACTGTCTAATTCTGCCTGTCAAAAAAAAAAAAAAAAGTAATAATACCACCATAGCTGTGATACAATACTGCATCATGAAACAAAAACAGTATTCTCTTTAAAAGAAAGCGAGCAGGTGTGTGCTTGTGCATAAACACATAGAGAATAAAAAGAGGACGTGAGGAAAAGCATGATTCTGCTTGTTTCATCTCAGCTGGAATATGGATACGATAGCTGGTGCTAGAGTAGCCATTTTATACAAAAGATACAATCAAGCTGAGGATGGAGAGCAAGATAAAAAGAGCCCGAGTCTTTAATGACTTCTAAGCTGCCAGTAAAGCCCTGGATCACCTCCATTACTAGGAGAGATTCAAAACAAAACTCGATTTTAAAAAATACTACCAAGGCATTTTCTGCCTCTTGCACCTTAACCATACAATAAATAATACAGCATATGCTACACAGTAAGTTTCCCTGCAAAATTCCTACAATATGAAACAAAGGAAACTATGTTCCAAGCTCTCCCCTATGTCGTCATTCCTATTAACTATGCCTAAGTCTATCTCACATCAGCCAAGAGAGCTGAATGCTAACACTTCAAATTTCAGTATTACATCCTAATCAAGTTTTATCATGTGTAATAAAATGTTATGCTGAAGGACCTATGGAATACAGCCCCAGGTGTCTACAGTACACTACTCTCATTGTTTTCAGATGTTGCAGAATCACTCCCCTAAGGCTTACCTTCAATTTCTCTTCAGCCTGACTTTCTTCTTTTAAATTTATATTGGATGACTGATGTCCAGCATAGTATTTTATCTTTCTACACCTTTCTCTCTAAAAGAATATGCCTTATTGAAAGTGGGACATGGGCAAACACCTGGAGTCCAAAATTAGTTCTTCACTTTTTTGTCCAGAGTGAACACTGCAGATTTTAAATGTTTTTACATTGCCCTAACATATCTATTCAAACATATGCTATTCAATTTATATAGCTAAGAAAATCACTTTTATAATTAAACTGCAAATCTTAAAAACAGTGGAATGATTAAGCATATGAATAAAGCATAGATCAGTATGAGTTTAACTTCATGGCTTAACACACTATCACCTGTAATAGGGAATTACAGTTACTCTGATACTGTCTAAAATTTTCAGAATAAATAAAAATTTTACAAAATGCTAAAGGAAAAAATTTTTGGCAGAGAGGGACCACTGTAACTCTAGGATAATTTTCTAACAATGTTTGATACAGCAGTCAAATCAAGATTAGACTCATTCTTATTTCCCAGTCTACCCCCCACCCCCGCCTTTCTCCCAGAGTTCTCACTTTTCCATTGATGACTGATTGAGTATGCATGTGCCTACAATCTGAGGGTAATGACAGCAGGCACTTTTGAATAGAATATATGAAAGTGAAATCTAAGACATGTCAACTTCTCAAGGAAAGTGTGACGACAAAGCAAAGAAATGCCCTCCATACATCACAATCCACCTGTTTCTAACTTCTACAATCAATGCATTACCAAATCCTTGTCATCTTTATAACTGTGTACATCAATATGAGTTCATATGTTATCAAAACTCCCAACAAGAAATGATCAAAGGTAAACAATTCTATTTCTATACTGCTATTACGCCAAAAGAACTAGAAATCCTCCTCCTCACTAGAAAAAAAAAAACACCATGGAATTCTTTGTTTCCATTCATGACAAGAATAACCAGTTTATAAGACAACTCCCCTCCATCCTTAAAAGTCACAGCATTACTTATTACTAATGGGTAAAGAAGAAAAAAACTGAAGGGTGACAAAGTACTAAGTATGAATGTAGAGATACCATATTTGCATTGAAATTTTCCTCTTAATAGCTTTCTCACATGAGGTGGCACAGAGTTGAGATGCAATTTGAGACACCCACATCCCATATTGGAGTGCCTAGGATCAAGTCTCAGCTCTGCTGCCAATTCCAGCTCAGCACTAACGTGCGCCGGAAAGACAGTAGGTGGTGGCTAAAGTACTTAGTCTCTGCTACCCACAGGGGAGGCATGTACTGAGTTCTGAAATCCCGGGTTTGGCCTAGACCAGTCTTGGCTGTTGTAGGCATTTAGACAGTCAGTGTATGGAAGATATCTGTCTGCCTGTCCCTGTCACTGCCTTTCAAATAAAATGAAAACATATTTAAAAAAAAAAGATTTATTTATTTGAAAGTCAGAGCTACAGAGAGAGAGGGAAAGCCAGAGAGAGAAAGATCTTCTGTCCAGTGGCTAATTCCACATATAGCCGCAATGGCTAGGGAAGGGGCAGGCCAAAGCCAGGAGCCAAGGGCTTCATTTGGGTCTTCCACTTGGGAGGCAGGGGCCCAAGCACTTGGGCCATCTTCTGCTACTTTTCACAGGCCATTAGTAGGAAGCTGGATCAGAAGTGGAACAGCTGGGATATGAACTGGTGACTACATGGGATGTCAGTATCACAGGTGGTAGCTTAACCTGCTATACCAATATTCTTTAAAAAATATGCTTCTCACGTATTTTCTATACTTCTTAAAAAGGAGTTAAAGTTTAGGAAGATAGGTGGAAAAAGCTGGCACATTTCTTATTTGTTAAAGCTACCCAGTTGAGGGTGATGAGTGGTGTTTATATTGAAAGTATATTATACATAAATAGTGTTTAATAGTGTTTAACACCCTTCACTTCCAACCTTCAAACAAACAAAAAATCAACCGAGAGCCACACAGTGTAAAACTTATAGTGCGTGAGGTCCTTTCAAATATCATTGAATAAGACAAAAATAACCTCAATGTAACCTAGCAAAGTAATGCTCAGAATTCAATAAACGTGATTTTCCCATAATACCACAATTCCACCAGATGCTGGCAAGTACGGGTTCTGTGCAACCTCCAACACAGTCCCTGAGACTAGTCTGTCTTCCCTCTACCTATTTCCTCAACTGATCTAGGCAATATTTTTCACTTAGGGAGTAGTGAGTAAGAAAATTCCTCATATCACCGAATGATTTACTTCATTAACACATGTGCACTTAAAGAAGACAGAAGTCGCTGAAAAACACTCAAAGTTCAAAAAACTTGCCATGGAATGAACTTTTTTTTTTTTTTTTTTTTTGACAGGCAGAGTGGACAGTGAGAGAGAGAGACAGAGAGAAAGGTCTTCCTTTTGCTGTTGGTTCACCCTCCAATGGCCTCCGTGGTCGGCGCGCTGCGGCCGGCGCACCACGCTGATCCGATGGCAGGAGCCAGGAGCCAGGTGCTTTTCCTGGTCTCCCATGGGGTGCAGGGCCCAAGCACCTGGGCCATCCTCCACTGCACTCCCTGGCCACAGCAGAGAGCTGGCCTGGAAGAGAGGCAACCGGGACAGAATCCGGCGCCCCAACCGGGACTAGAACCTGGTGTGCCGGCGCCGCTAGGTGGAGGATTAGCCTAGTGAGCCGCGGCGCCGGCCTGGAATGAACATAATTAAGGCAACATCCATTAATGAAATTTCACCACCTTCATGTTATGGTGCACTATCAAACAGTTTGCATTTTTTTCCTGTTTTTTTTTTAAACTTCTATTTAATAAATATAAATTTCCAAAGTAAAACTTTTGGATTATAGCAGCTTTTCCCCCTATAACCTCCCTCCCACCTACAACCATCTCATCTCCCACTTCTCCCATCCCATTCTTTATCAAGATTCATTTTCAATTATCTTTATATACAGAAGATCAACCTGGTATATACTAAGATTTCAACAGTTTGCACCCACACAGAAACACAAAGTATAAAGTACTGTTTGAGTAGTAGTTTTACTGCTAATTTGCATAACACAACACATTAAGGACAGAGATCCTACATGGAGAACAAGCATACAGTGACTCCCGTTGTTGATTTAACAACTGACACTCTTATTTATGACGTCAGTAATCACCCGAGGCTCTTGTCATGAGCTGCCAAGGCTATGGAAGCCTCTTGAGTTCACAAACTCCGACCTCATTTAGACAAGGCCATAATCAAAGTGGAAGTTCTCTCCTCCCTTCAGAGAAAGGTATCTCCTTCCCTCCTTCTTTGACGGCCCTTTCTTTCCACTGGGATCTCACTCGCAGAGATCTTTCGTTTAGGTCATTTTTTTTTTTTTTTTTTTTTTTTTTTTTTTTTTTTGCCACAGTGTCTTGGCTTTCCATGACTGAGATACTCTCATGGGCTTTTTAGCCAGATCTGAATGCATTAAGGGCTGATTCTGAGGCCAGATTGCTGTTTAGGGCAACTGCCATTCTGAGTCTGCTGTGTATCCCACTTCCCAATGTTGGATCGTTCTCTCCTTTTCAATTCTATCAGTTAGTATTAGCAGAAACTAGTCTTGTTTATGTGATCCCTTTGACACTTAATCCTATCATTATTATCAATTATGAACTGCAACTGATCACTTTGACTAGTAATATGGCATTGGTACATACCACCTTGATGGGATTAATTTAGAATCCCCTGGCACGTTTCTAGCTCTACCATTAGGGGTAAGTCCAAGTGAGCATGTGCCAAACTGTACATCTCCTCCCTCTCTTATTCCCACTCTCACATTTAACAGGGATCACTTTTCAGTTAAATTTAAACACCTAAGAATAATTGTGTTAATTAAAGAGTTCAACCAATGGTATTAAGTAGAACAAAAAAAAAATACTAAAAGGAATAAAATAGTACTAACTGCCTAAAATTTCAATATGTGTAATTAAAAACATATGGACTCTTTCTAGATTCCTTCCTACAAAAAGGGAATATAAGAGAGATGTATTTGTAGAACAGAAAAAAAAAAAAGAATAATGTTACTAAATCAATGAGTTAGGTGTTTTAGCAAAGTCTCTAAGAATCTAAATTTAGCTTCAATGCACAACAAATATAAAATCAGGCTATGCAAATGTTTTTTGTGATAGGATATGAAAAAACTCACCTTCTCAATATTTATCTGGTGCTTTCTTAATCTTTCCAGGTCTGTCGGGATTACTATTTTAATGAATTTCTGAATAGCTGGCTCAAGACGGCGTAATTTCACTTTTTCTTCATCTTCAGACATCATAAAAAATGTTGTGTCACTTCTACTGGCAATAACTGTCTTCTCCACTCATACAGAAAAACCTAAAAATGAAATATTTAAAGGTGTTTTTCAGTCAGTTTTTATTAATTTTAACAATGTTTTTAAATCAGTTTTCATTATGTTTAAAAGCTAACAATTGAGGCCAATGCTGTGGTACAGTAGGTTAACCCTTTGCATGAGGCACTGGCATCCCATATCAGCGCTGGTTCAAGTCCAAGTTGCTCCACTTCCAATCCAGCTCCCTGAAAATAGCCTGGGGAAACAGTGGAAGATGGCCCAAGTCCATGGTCCTCTACATTCACGTGGGAGACTCAGAAGAAGCTCCTGGCCCCTGGCTTCAGAAAGGCCCAGCTCTAGCCATTGCAACCATTTGGGGAGTAAACCAGGAGATGGAAGCTCATTTGCTCTTTCTGTCTGTAACTCTGCCTCTCAAATAAAAAAATAAAAAAAAAAAAAAAGGAAACAATTAGGAAGTTTAGTGATTTATTCTAAATGCATATTCAACTTAATGTGGAACTTCAGTAATTTTCTCTTTATAGAAGTTAAATACATTCACTTTGGAATGTTTAAAAAATATAAATAAATAAAATCAGTAACTCTCCTTATCCATAGATAACTATTTGTTACATTTTGCTGTACATTTTTCCAAGCTTTTCTTCTATGTAAGAATATAAGGGACCAACATTGTAGCACAGCAGGTTAAGCTGCCACTTGAGATACCTGCATCCCATACTGAAGTGTCAATTTGAGTTCCAGCTACTCCATGTTTCCAATCCAGCTTTTGACTAATCCACCTGGAGTACTTGGGTTTCTGCCACCCATGTGAAGACAAGGATGGAGTTCCCCCATCCTGATTTTGGCCTGGCCTAGTCCTGGCTGTTGCAGCCACTTGGAGAGTTAATCAGTAGATGAAGATCTCAGATTTCTGTCTCTATGTCATTGTGCCTTGAAATGAAAAATAAAGCTTATATATATATAGAGAGAGTATATGTAGATATGTATGTATATAAGTACCTTTTTAAAAACTAGTACACTAGTTCAAGTTTTCATTTCTTAATATACTTGTATCTTAACATTGAATAGTCTTTTTTAAAAAGTGTCAAATGGAGGGCCGGCGCCGCGGCTCACTAGGCTAATCCTCCGCCTAGCGGCACCGGCACACTGGATTCTAGTCCCGGTTGGGGCGCCGGATTCTGTCCCGGTTGCCCCTCTTCCAGGCCAGCTCTCTGCTGTGGCCAGGGAGTGCAGTGGAGGATGGCCCAGGTGCTTGGGCCCTGCACCCCATGGGAGACCAGGAAAAGCACCTGGCTCCTGGCTCCTGGCTCCTGCCATCGGATCAGCGTGGTGCGCCGGCCGCAGCGCGCCGGCAGATGGAAGACCTTTCTCTCTGTCTCTCTCTCTCTGTAACTCTTTCAAATAAATAAAATCTTTAAAAAAAAAAGTGTCAGATGGCAAAACTCAAAGGAAAAAGGAAAAATCTCACTCTTAACATTTATGCTTCTATCAAACTCTACTTCTGTCACCATATAATTTAATTATGTAGTTATATACTTCAACTATATTATAAAACTCCTTATTGATGTTAAATTAAATTGCCTCTTCTCTTTCTCACAAAGTAATTAGTATTGTCTATAATCAACACAAACATCTAGCAAGAGCTGTAACAAAAACTAGATTCCTAGGAACACAATCAAATGTTTTTCTACTTCACCAACAGTTTTCTACTAGTGTTCCAAAAAAGTCTTAGAGTGGGGCTGATGCTGTGGTATAGTGGGTAAAGCTGCCACCTGCAGTGCCACCATCCCATATGGGCGCTGCTTTGAGTCCCAGCAACTCCACTTCTAATACAGCTCTCTGCTATGGCCTGGGAAAGCAGTAGAAGATGGCCCAAGTCCTTGGGCCCCTTCGGATCTGCACAGGTCTGTCCGTTGCATTCATTTGGGGAGTCAACCAGCAGATGGAAGACCTCTCTCTCTGCGTCTGCCTCTGCATCTCTGTAACTCTGCCTTTCAAATAAAATAAAGAAATCTTAAAAAAAAAAAAAAAGTCTAAGAGCATGCCTCTGAGGCCAGGGTAGGAGATGGTAGGGGCTGGAAATGACAGGCCCCAGAACCCCATTCTGTGATTCAATTAGAAAAAATCTACTTGGATTTATTTTATAAATTGGAGTTTATCAGATCTTGATTAATGGGGTCCATTGCTTTAACCAAACTGGAAAACTATGTTACATACCATGTCATCTCATTAGCCACAACCTTTCCCATATTTAAAGATAATTTTAATATGACTTTGGTAAAACCCACTGGGTATCTTAGCTAAGGATCCATACAGATAGGAGTTTCTACATAGACTTTGTGGAGTCCCTGAATATTTCTGGAAATTGTGACTATATTTTATTTCGAAAGATAGAGTTCACTGCTTTCAAGAGATTCTCAAAGAAATTCAGCACCTTAAAGCCATTAATCATTAACCATTAAGAATCACTGCTCAGGTCGGTGCCGCGGCTCACTTGGCTAATCCTCCGCCTGTGGCACCAGCACCCCAGGTTCTATTCCGGTTGGGGCGCCGGATTCTGTCCTGGTTGCTCCTCTTCCAGTCCAGCTCTCTGCTGTGGCCTGGGAGGGCAGTGGAGGATGGCCCCACCCACATGGGAGACCAGAAGGAAGCTCCTGGTTCCCGGCTTCGGATCGGCGCAACGTGCCAGTCTTAGCGGCCATCTTGGGGGTGAGCCAATGGAAGGAAGACTTTCTCTCTGTTTCTCTCTCTCACTGTCTAACTCTGCCCGTCAAAAAAAAAAAAAATCACTGCTCTAAATGCTCTAATTCTCCATTTTCTTCCACAGTTGAATATATTTAATTATTGTTTATTGAGACTGTCTTCACTAATCATCCACACGTAAGTTGGTTTTTATGTTTGATATACGCTTAAAAGTAAAGGAAAAAAATCTCCAGACCCCCCCAAAAAAAAAGAAAATGGTAATTCAATTATAATTGTAGCAGTGAATGGAAACTGGAAACAGATGGAGAAGTTTGTTGCCAAAAAAGGAAGTCTACAACTTCTCTACCCCCACAGAAGGAAGGAAGGAAGGAAGGAAGGAAGGAAGGAAGGAAGGAAGGAAGGAAGGAAAGACGGAAGGAAACAGGAAAATTCATAGCTCAGGAACTAAAATCTAAAAATAAAGCATATTTTTAAATATCCAAAAATGTAATGTAAGAAATAAAATCTTTAAAAATTAGATATTATGAAACAATGATAAGTCAATCTGACTATAACACCAGCCAGCAAAAATTCTAGAAATGAAAACTTCAAGAGATGTATTAAACAGTAAATAATACAGTTGAAAAGAGAATTGTTGATTGGAAGATATCACTTAGAATAAAGAAGAATACACAGACCAGACTGAAATATAAAAAAGAAAATATAGGACATAAAGGATAAAATGAGATACTCAGTAATAAATAGGAGTCCCAAAGAATAAAGAAAATGATCAAGAGGAATTATTCAAAGAGAATACACTAGGAATTAGGATGTAAGAACTTGAATTGAAAAATGCATAAGCCCAAAGTCATAAAAATAAAAAACAAACTTACCTAAACACACAGAAGGGAAATTACTGAATATCAAAGACAAAAGGCCACTTTTTAAAATAATTTATTTATGTATTTATTTATTTGAAAGTCAGAGGTACAGAAAATAAGGTAGAGACTAATGGGATTAATTAGCCATTTGGATTTCTTCTTTCATGAACTGTCTTGCCATATGCCTGTTTTACTATAGGGTATGCCTTTTTCTTACTGCTTTATAAAAGTCTATGACATGTTAAATGCATCAACATCTAACACTAATATTTCTCAGTTTATCACATTGTTTCTTATTTTTAAAAAAGTTATTTATTTATTTTATTTGAAAGAGATAGGGAGAGAAAGAGATCTTCCACCTGCTGGTTCACTCTCCAAATGGCCACAACATCAAGGGCTGGGCCAGGAGCCAGAAACTCCATCCTGGTCAGGTGACCAGGATGGTAAGTGGCAGGGACCCAATTACTTGAGCGAGCTTCTGCTACTTTCCAGGTGCATTAGCAAGGAGCTGGATTGGAAGCAGAGCAGCTGGTAATCAAATCAGCACTCATTTGGAATGCCTACATTGCAGGCTGTGGCTTAACCTGCCTCACCCCAACACTAGTTTCTGTTTATTTCTACTATGAAAATTATATACTACAGAGAGATTTCTTTATACCTACCATCATTCATATTTTTAAAAAGTTTTTTAAACATGCCTGTTGCTCAGTAGATGCTATGTGATCTAAAATCTTTCATCACATGTCCCTTCTTCTAATCCTTTCCAAATAGCACAATATGCTAACATGACAACAGAACTTTAATTGGTCATTCTTTAGACCTCCTTTGTATGATTATTCTCCAAACCTATCACCAATTAATATATATAACACAGAGTGGCCGGCGCCGTGGCCCATGAGGTTAATCCTCCATCTGCGGCACCGACATCCCTTATGGGCGCTGGTTCTAGTCCCAGTTGCTCCTTTTCCAGTCCAGCTCTCTGCTATGGCCTGGGAAAGCAGTAGAAGATGGCCCAAGTGCTTGGGCCCCTGCACCCACACTGGAGACCCAGAAGAAGCACCTGGCTCCTGGCTTCGGATTGGCGTGGCATCGGCTGTGGCAGCCATTTGGGGAGTGAACCAACGGAAGGAAGAACTTTCTCTCTGTCTCTCCCACTGTCTGTAACTCTACCTGTCAAATAAATAAATAAAATCTTTTAAAAAATATATTTATCTAACACAGCAACTGCAACATGTTTTTCTCCTGTACCAAAAGTTCCAATAGTTTCCTATTATTTGAACAAGAAAATATAATGTTTACAAGTAGATCCATCCTATCTACTATCTCTCCATCTCTGATTCAGCCTTTACAATTATGCTCCCTGTCTAGATCCTTTTCCATCTATCTGCCTCTAAATTTTACATATAATTTTGGAGGGGACTCCAAAAGTTCATGGAAAATGCATGTCATCTTTTAATTCCATT